CACGGTGCTCCTTGGACAGCTATTGAAGTATTAGACCATTGACCACTGCCCTCTCTCGCTAATAACATTCTGCAATTAGAAATAAAAATGTGTTAATTCAATCAATCATTTAAATATTATTTCCTATTTTTTTTTTATTTAAAAATATTAATGAATAAATTCACTATTATTTGATGTTCTTAACTAAAAATCATAAATAATTTATTATATATTTTAATAAATATAATTATCATAAATAAAATATGTTTTTTATACCTAATTAAATTTTTTTCACTACTCTCGATACTTGAAATAAAAATTATTAAGTTCTTAATGATAATAAGCTCAAATTATCTACAAATTCTCTGCGAAAATATCAACAAGACACGAAATGGTAAAAATGCATTCATAATAATCTTAATTAAAATTTTATTTCTATAATGTTCATAATACAATAAATTTACGAAGTTTATCATCAATATTTGTCTCCAACTTAGCTCCAAATGCAGTAAGAAATTACATGTATCCTTTCATTTTCAAAAAATAAAAAAAAATGTCACGTTCAACCTTCTTCAAATATTTCTATGGTAATTTCCACGATAATGCGTGTAAGTGAAATCAATTTGGCTTGCAGAATAGTAATCTAACCGGTTAAAAAAAAATTATCCAATAATTATAAAGAAAAAAGAGCTCCAAAAAAAGGAAATCAAAAGCACACTGTTTGAAATGATCTTATTTACTGGTCATACATAAAAAGTGTCTGTAAGGCGTCAGTTTAAAACCAAGTAAAAAATGTATAATTACTTATTACAGTGACTTGATGGAAGTTTATAGATCAATATTAATTGAGATGAAATATAATAAAGATTGAGGTAGGAGTTAGGGGTATAAATTAATCAGTTGCAGTATGTGTTAAGTATATCAAATGCTTAATAACTAGTTTACGAAAGTTGAAGGAAATATGGCAATTACAGCTGGCTGGCAAATTAATAACGAAAGTAAATAATTAATAGCTACACTTTCTGTGGTGTCATGATGACACTGAAACTTATGCACTTACAAGCCAAGTATCACAAGCCATCATAGCCATGAATCGTGTTCGATTAATAAACTGAGAATATAAGTAGATACACCAAGCAATTATCTTTCTTTCCCTCTACCAATAGATCGTTCTTCTCCATATCATTATTTTTCTCATGCACAGCATTAGAGGGGTGTGTGAAGCATAAAACGCACAGAAGGACCACGTGGTAGTTGCAATTAGTGGGTTTTTACCGGTTGGTTAGTTCCTCAACTTAGAGATAGTGCAAAGAGTTCCTTAAACCCCATGCTCCTGTTGAACGTTCGGTATGTTAATGGTTGTAATATGACGTTCTCTCCATCTCTTGTCTTGTCCACATCATCTCTAGCTACTGCTCGGATCAAGGGATCGAGAACACTAACGTTAATGTGTATTAGTAATTCCAGAAACGACCAATTAACATTCCCAGAAAGGAATAAGCTTCTTGCTTCAGAGAGCTTCTTCCGTGCGGTCTCTTTCGTAATTGCTATCGAAAGAGTCTGTACCATGCAGACATTTGAGTAATAATAACTCTCTAGATACTTCTCACCCCACAATTTTCATTTTTATTTCTCTCCAAATGATAATATTTTATTTTTTGGAATAAAAGACAAGCCGAATGAGTGTAAACTATAACTATAATACTCATAAAAAAGTATTTATACCTAAGCTATCAATTAAAGAGTCATATATTCGTTGAGAAATAATCGTGCTGTACATAAAATACCGGGTTAAGATCTTGGTTGATGTATTTTAGTATTTTTTTGCGGCAATATTGGTCTTAAAGAAAGATATTAAAAAATGTTAAAAATTTTCTGTGGTGTGTATAGAGCATATTAATTGAGGATATGAATTTTAATTAAATTTATATTCAACCCTAGATGGTGATTTAATTTATGGATATGATAATGGAATTGTTTTAATAGTTTGAGTTATTTTTATATGTCATTGAATTCTAGAAGCTTGATCATTTTTATAATATCAGATTGATTGTTATTCCTTTAGATCTTTTTCTGGCATCATTTAAGCTGGCTTTAATGGAACAGGAAAGTGCAGGTAATAAATGTAACACTTTCATTTAAAATGCAATCTCAGATTGTAAATTGGATGAAAATTTTAATAATAGAGTAGCAAAGCCGGATTCAACATCAACGAAATATTTAAATTATTGATCAAGTTGGTTTTAACTATTTTATGATTCTAATAAAGATAGCAGTAAACAAATACTCTCAATACTTCTCACGGAATCGATCGTTAAATTTATTATTCCTGTAGCGTTATAAAAATTTAAAAATTTTTTCGACCAAGAGAAACTGGAATGAAGATGAGAGAATATCATTTCAAAAGAACTATTGGTACTTTAGAACGTGTTTGTGGAAGCTCAGGTTACAGAATTCATTTTTGCACTTTCTGATACAGTCAATGCATGCTTCAATGCCTCGTCTTGCATCGATACTTCACCTGGCTTTAGCTTGTTCTATTTTTTTATATTTTATTTCAAATACTAATAACGCATTTAATAATTGTTTCAATTTCTTCTAGAAATCCCAGCATGATTTATATCATCATTATTTCTGGTTTTTATAATTTATCTTCAATATATAAAATATTCTATCTTGAAGTAGATAAAATGTTATAAAATTTAATGTAAAATTATTCAATAAAATTCAATTTATAAATAAAGAAATTTTCTCATAATTTTTTTTCAAGCTTTTTTATAGGCTGAGTAATAGTTTTTATCATCACCATTATTTGTTCCCATGATTTATCTTCAGTATATAGGAAGTTATATAGTAGCAGTAGCAGCAGTAGAAGCAAAAAAAAATAATGTTTTATATATATAACTGAATGCACACCTGTCGACTCTTTATTGCTTAGCTTCTGCTAAAAATCTCGTACCGTTTTTCTTCTAAACTTTCACCGTGTCTTGAGACGACGATAATTTCTTAAAGGAATCTAGGTTCCAAGTCGTTTCACATGCACTATATTTACGTTTGTCACGCATATACCTACTTAACGATAATAATAATAATAATTTGACAATAACCCACTGAAAAACTATCACACTTTGAATAATCGCTCTGGTAAGTACACTCTTCATCACTATATAACATACAAATGCACCCACTAGCACCAATGACACTGAAGAAGTAACCCCTGATAAGTCTTGCAAGTGTCCTGCGAATTTATTGTAGCAGCAAAGAATCGCGTTATTTCATCAGGATGTCGCTTTTCGAAACTGTATCTAAATGTTAACATCTCCAACGACATCCTCTTTCACGTATACTTCTATCAAAGCCCAGAAAACACTTGTCTTACTCGACAAGACGACACTGTTGCATCCTCATCGTCAATCCACAAAGCAACCAGCAGTAGCAGCAACAGAAGAGAAAGAGTACAAGGATAAAAAAGGAATCGGATCGGCTTCACTCAACTGCTCCAAGTAAACGAACCGAACATGCTATAGTGTGAGTATCTCACTCACAGTCTTTGCTTTTCAGCATTTTTTTAAATGAAAAAAATTGCAACAACCACGAGCTCCTCCGCAATGAGTCATGCCACCGTAGCAGCATCTTCTTCGTGAGCTACCTGGAGAATAGCGGCTGGAAACGGCGACTTTTATCATGACGATCTAGTGTAGAAGCATTAAAACACATCGTACATTCCACACACTGGAATGAAAGATTCTTCTTATACAACAGCCGCACTTAATGCTCGATTATAACTTCTTTTACATCTATAAACATTTATATAGCAATATCATAAGGAATTTATCACCTTCTGGGACTTTTAATGTGAGAATTTTAGAAAACTATTCAAACTTTAGCTAATTCACAAGAATTATATTGCCAGCTAATTGTAATGCGTTAACGTACTCCAAAGCGTCGAGAACTTGGACTGTGTTGCAAGGCTTGAGCTGACTCTCAAGACGTGGTCTCCTGTCTTCTCCTTCCACATGGAACGTCTACCACTACCATCTTCACCTGCTTACTTGGTCTCGGATCCATCTTTCCCTTCTTATATGCCACTTAGCAAACTTGTACTCATATGAATCACGATAAATTCATCTGTCTTTGGTCCATTTTTAATGCTTCCACGTGTTAATTGTAATTTATTGGATTAATATCCAAGAAGAAAAATTACTACTTAATGAGTGCTGCACCTTATTAATATTTGATTGGAAATTTTGATAAATACTTTACCCTAAAAAAAAGTTGTCAACCTCGTATTCTTTCAAAAAACTCATGTTCAGTTTTTTTCAAAATGTAATTAATATCATTTCACGCTGTTAATCTATAATTACAGGAAGGAAGTATTATTGAACTTTTAAAAGCTTCATTTATCATAACTGAATCTTTTTTATTATTTTCCTTCAGATTTTACTGTAAATGTATCAATTACCTATCATTTTGTCATTAATAACCATCTATTAAATTGTGTCACATTGAATCCCATGAAATTTCAATTAACCTTTTTTAATACTAACCTCAAGTATTTAACAAAAAATATAGTCTGAAATTATTGATTAAACAATATTATTAATACGTACCGGCTGAAAAATGATCATGAAAACTTTTTTTTTCATCTTATTAGCATAAAAAGTCAATCAACTTTGAAAATTATAACCTTGATTTCTTTAACCTTTAACTTTTTACTTTTCATTTCACCTTTTTAAATAACAAATTATTATTTCACTCATAAAAAAACTTTTGCAATGAAAATACACAATTTTTTGGTTCATAGTTATAAATTAAATTGACTAATGACAAAAAAATGATTGAATAAAACATTGAAAACTTTATTGTAAAGCCGGGCGTCTTTTGTTGATAGAAGCGTCATTGTTTATGTCGCCAATGAATCGAAAAAAGGCGGTCAAAAGTGCGATTGACAGAACTGTCCTCTAGCGCCAAGAACTGATACTTGGCTTTTCGTAAATATATTCCGGCGATATAGCCACGTGATGACGACAAATGTCGCGACTAATGGCGTGACAATGTCCGAATCGAATTACGAAAGACGAATAGACATTTTTTCTCGGAGTAATTTTCCGGGCAAGGCCACTGTGTTCCCTAGAAAACCTCGTGCTCTGTCGTTTCTACTCTTGTGTACGCACTGCAGTCAACGCACAATGGTCTATGATATAAGTTGGATTATTCCTAAATTAAGAAGACCTACAAGTCTATGGAATTTTGCTAGTACTATCACCTATGCTGCAGTAGGGATAGTTTCTAAGATCATAATAAGTGAGTATACTTACTCCAATTGTGCTATTTTGATACAATTTTCTATTCTCTTCCAATTAATCTTGAATTTACGTAATGAAAATTTATTTTGATAAATAATTCGTTTAAGTAATCCATATTTTTTAATAAAAATTTTATTAATTATTACAGCATGGCTGAATAAAACAACAGTTTACAATAGACACATACTAGAAAAGGCATTGGATCACAGACCAAGCAATGTACCACTCATTACAGTCTCCAACCACCACAGCTGCTTTGATGATCCTGGGATATGGGGTGGGTTTTGGTCTGGCACATCACCAGACACCTAGTCAAGTGATACATTAAATTGCTACTTATAAAAAGTTGCTAATTGACGAAACTCCTTAGCCAGCAGTGCAATTAATAATTATTAACCGTCCAACTGTTATGTATCAAATTTAGTGATACAGGGTGAGCTCGACTGTAAATTTATTCTGTGATATTGTTGCAAGTCTTCCAAACATATGAGTGACAATGCACTTTCAGAAAAATCGTTAATTTAATCAAGCAACGAATTAAATTTAATTATTATCTAAAAAATGTCATTCATGAAAGATAATCACAGGTTTTATTGATTGATTTCAGGAACTTTGAGCTTCAAACACTTGTTGAATAGAAGAAAAATGAGATGGTCATTAGCAGCACATGACATTTGTTTTACGAATGTTTGGCATTCGTATTTTTTTATGATGGGAAAATGTATACCAGTAGTAAGGGGCAATGGAGTTTATCAAGAGGCGGTTAATTTTTGTTTGGAAAAATTAGGCTGTGGAGAGTGGGTTCATGTTTTTCCTGAGGGTAAAGTGAATATGTTGAAAGAGAATTTAAGGTATAACTAATTTATGATAAAGCGTTGTCATGAATAAAACAGTAATGTGATAATTAAGGAATATATTAAATAATATTCACAGATTAAAGTGGGGAATAGGACGGTTAATTTTTGAATCACCAGTTTTACCTATCGTCCTTCCAATTTATCACCTGGGAATGGACGATGTATTACCTAATGAACCACCATATGTGATTCAAATGTTCAAAAAAGTGACTGTAAATTATGGTGAACCAATAGACTTCAGTGAAATAGTATCGCAGTTAAAAAAATCAAATGCTAGTGCTGAAGAAATAAGGAAAACAATCACAGATCGAATTGATGCTGAACTCGCCAAGTATATAAAAATGTTTATAAATTCATTTACCTTGTATGACTTTATTAATTATTTGGTTAACCAAATTTGTCTTTTCTATTACAGACTGAAAGGAGCAACTGAGAAGTTACACATTAAACTTTGACACAAAATCGGCGATTAATGCCATAACCCCGTTTAGCATTCAATTTCAATTAATCTCGTATAACTTAAATGACAAGGCCATCCATAAAAATAAGCGAATGATTTTCATATAAGTCAATATATGCATCTTTATAATCTTTTTTCTGATGCCGTAGTATTATTTGATATCAAACGGAGGAAAAAAGATAAAACTTCAACGCACTCTAAGCTTTAGGATATAAGATATGAGCATATCAATCTTTCGCTTATTATATTTGTAAATAATAATAATCTGTGTATATTTGAACTATTAAAAATGTTAAATATCACACAAAAAAAGAGTCAAATTGATCAATTAAAGACTGAATTTTTAGAAAAATATTAGAGTGACTATACAAAAGTTTAAATCAATTGATACTGCATAGTTGTTGTTTTTTTAATGTTTACAGAGTGAATACATTACATACATGGTTGATATATGACATTTAAATTTTCTATTTGAAAGTTTGAATTTAGTTTTAATTGGAAAGAAATATATTAATGAAAAATTACTTTTGGCACATTGTAAAGTTATATAATTTTGTATTTATCGTACAAAGAACAATTCCTCGTTAAGAATTTAAATGTGCTGAATCTAAATTTAATATTTTTTTATTCAATGTGACTAAATTGAAGGTTAAAGATTACATATTTTATTATTACAATTAATTCAAATAGTATATTAGTGTACAGATATAGCTTTTCCACTGATGAGTAACTCTTTTATCAATATATTCCATAATCTCTGTAATCTTTTATCACTATAATATTTTTATATTGTTAATAGCATAGATCATCAAATAGATTATTAACTAGAACATTGTTGAAGAAATTTTTATCGTTTCAACGATCTTGTAACATATATTAAATATCAACTATTGGAGGTACTTCAATTTTTTTTTTATCACCTATGAATATTTAAAAAAAAATACTATACTAATAATGGGACACCATTAATCAAATAAGTCAACAAAATTTACATTCACCCATATGATTTTCAATACATACGTATTTAACATTAATTTCCTACGCATATTTGATAATTTCTGATCAACCATATCGATAATTATATTACGTGCAATCAATTTTAGTGATTCCCATTAGTAATTCTGCGAAGCGTAGATTTATTAAAGTTACATATACTGCCCAACAAGGCAGTACGATCATTTGTACCTATAATAGGTGTGATGGAAGTTCCACTAGATGCTTTTGATGATGGCACAGGTACAGACGATTGTTTAGATTCCACAATATCATTCTTTGTGATTGTTGCAGTTTGTTTTTCTGCAAGACCTTGAATGTATGATATGATCATTAGTATTCATGGAAAAAAACATAGTGAATTATTTCTAGTGATAATCAAAAACTATCAATTTTAGTGTTTAATAATTTTAAACAAAAAAAAAATTTTACTACTGAAACTTAAAGAAAAATCAATAAAATTAAACAAAAAATTGGCTATCCTACTAAAATTTAAATCTCATCCAACTAATAAAATTACTCTGACGTAAGTCTGTGTGTAAGAAAAAAAATTTTATGCGACTATTTTCTTTACGATACTTATTATGTAATAATTCATAAATTTTTTACTATAATTTTCATATCATAACTATTAGAATTAGATATGTTTATAACTGAAGTTCAAAAGTTTAAATATATTGTCAATTAATTTGTTTATCAACAAAACTATTTTTTATCTCAATGAATAGTAATTTATTTCATCGTAAAACTCATTAACAAATTATTCCTACGTTAAATTATTTTAGTTTTACATCGAAGCGACCAAAGGTCAGTAATAAATTTATAGTCATTTATAAATGATGCAACATCACTAGTTTAACTACTTTATTTTAAATGCAATAATGTCAAAAAAATAATTTGAAAAGTAAATAATTTTATAATAACTTAAAATCATTATATACTTTCTAATTCAATAATAAAACCGTTATTTGAAAATACCAGATCATGATAAAAGGTCTTAGGTGCTTAAACAGTCATTAAATTAATCAATATCGTGCAAAAGTGGATAAAGGAAACGCTTACTCAAAACAATGGTTTCATTTGATTAACAATAACGCTTTAATGAACCTACGTTAAACAATGGAACGTTGTTTATGCCATCAGCTTTTGTGTCCAGCTTATCAATAGGAATGGAAATGACAGTGAATAATAATGTTGATTAATTTAAAACTAACAAATATTGAGATGAGTATATATTCCAAAAAGTTACCTTGAGAAGGAGGCGTAAGAGTATCAACGCTAGTGGTCGTGGATGTACTTGTAGGACTGTCTGATCTTTCTGGACTTTTTCCATTAATCTGTTTTATTTCGCCCGTACCAAGTTGACTTGATGACCGCTGTTCTTGTGCCAATTTTGATTCTTTTTTCTAAAAAACAGAGTAATAAAATTAATGACCATTTATATACAAATGCATTGAATTACATGTAATTATATTCCCATTAAAATAAGTACCAATTTTTGCTTGCGCTTTTTCATTTCCTCTTCCGAGCTCATCATTTCTTGGACTTTTACCAGTCTCTTTTGATGCCGAGCAAGTTTTTGTTCATCCCTCAATCTCTGTTCGGCTTTATGGGCCGCTTGAAGTAAAGCTTCTTTAAGATGACTACTTAATTTAAAATGAGGTTTTTCAACTTGACTGGCAGATAATAGAGCCATTCGTTTAGCAGTCTCAAAAAATTGATGTTCCATCAATTGAGAAAATGTTGGCAGGTCTTGTTTTAGAGCATCCGGCGAGAGTATTACTTCTAGAAGATTTTTAAGATGAACATCACATTGTGGAAGATCTGTACACGTTGCTTCTAACAATGGCCTGCCAAAAGCCATCTCATATAAAACATGCCCAAAGGAATAAACGTCTACTTGAGTAGTAGCATGGAGCTTCCGTCTTTGGACAACATATGGACGATAAAATGCCGGCAAGCCTAAGAGTCCATTCTCTATATCTAATAATTTAGCACCCGATGATGTAAGCAAAACATTTCCAGTATGCAAATGACCGTAAGGTAAACCTTTTTCTGCCAGATAATTTAGTGCTTCTAAAATTTGATATCCATATGTTGCTATTTCAGATGTCGTTAATAGCTTAGTATGCTTTGGATTTCCATATTTTTTGATAAAAGGTTGCTTTGGTTTGGTATTGCAGAGTACATCTCGTAAAGTACCGTTGACATAAAAATTCCTTATGGTCAATGCTCCATTTTCAGTTACATGTTGATGGACAATACCTTCGATATGATTGTGTTTCAATGATCCTAAGCTTTTAAAAACACCTTGCATGTCTCTGTCTTGTAAATGTTTGTCTGGTCCGAATTCCACCCATGCTAAAAGTAATTCTTGTTTAGGATTTTGTCGATTCTTCACTGTGTAGTAATGTTTTCTCAATCTCCATCCCATATCCACGATGGGTTTCCCAATTTCGAAATTGGCATCACTCCTTAGTGCTAAAGACACTTGTTGTAATGCTATTTCTAAAACAGAAGAATAGTCATACTTTAGTCGTTTTTATTTAAGGTTGTTAAAAAAAAACAATTATAAGGTAAACATACAACTAGACATAATATATTCACAGCGTATTATATTTCAGTTAAGCTTATTATCTAAAAGTGTGATTGTATGTGATGTATATTACAGTAAAATTACTTGGAATTTTCAGTTGTATTTTTTTTTATCTTTATATAGATAACACACTCAACTCAAAGACTAAACACAAAGCGTTATATCAATGAATTGGCAGTTATATTAAATTTTTCACTGTAGTCTTCATTTATATTATCCAAAAATAAATAAAATTTACTCAAATAATTGAATCGTTCTTCAAACTTTCTCTATGACATTTATATTATCGTATTATTATTAGGCAGAGATTCTTACCATGTAGTGGAACAGTGTAATTATTGGGATCGAGAAAGTGTTTCATAGACAACGATGAAGCCAATATGGGATTCATTAGTACCACGTTTAAATATTTTTGCAGAGCAATTTGGCGTTGAGCTATAAATTCTGCGCCCATGTTACCAATAACTTTTTTTGGAGGCAAAGGCAAATCCAAGCCTGATATAGATAGAGCTGCATTGAGTTGTACAAAGTCATTGTATCGTCTACTAACTCTCCACGATCGTTCGGGTAAAGGACCTCTTTGTGTCCTGATCACATATTCCTGCAAGCAATAATCATAAATTGTTTTGTTATCAATAAGTAGTATATTAACATGGATAAAATATTCAATGTCATCATGAAACCGATAAATAGAGAAGTATGATTGTATAAAATACTTGAATATTATTCTTACCGTATGACCATCAACTGTTCTAGCATTTTCAATTACACTACTCAACACTTCTGTATCATCCAATAATACTTTATTTGTGTGTTTTTTTTCGAATAAAGCCATTGATCATCATATCAAAAAGAAATTGAGCAGGGCCCATAAGGGGCGGGCTGCAATAATTTATCGCGTAGTTTTCTCGTAGCGCCATGAATGACGTTCCACTCCTTCATAATAACATTCGTATTTAATTATTAATAACACATTTGACTACTCACATAATAAACTTTATAATATTAAACACAAGAAATAAAATGTTCTATAAAAATTCAACATAAAGTAATTATTTTCTTTATTAAAAAAAAAAAAAAAGATTTCAACAACTAGTAATAGTCACTATATCACAGAACACTGAGCACTAATATCTAACTATTCTTTGCATATCATTTCTTTATAAATTTATCATTTCAGTCTTTTCATGAACAAAATGAGAAATATTCAATTACTTTCGTGGATTTATTAATTTTTTGAATGTAATATTGAGAAAAAATATCAGAGTTTTACTTGACATTCTTTCGATTTAGTTTTTTTTTTTTTGATTCGCGACTAAAACCATCTAGCGGTTGAAATTAAAATACAAACTTTGATAAAAAATTTTCGAATTAACCCAACTGATGGCACCTCTTGTGAATTTTAAGTTTCAGATATTCTCATTAGGTGGCTGACTTATAGGTTCCATGAAATTAGCAAAAGTGAAAAATGTCAAGTGAAATTAGTGTCTTTAATGAATTAAAAATCCATGAAAGATAAATTCAAGTATTTACACATATTGTGGTCATTATTCAATGAATAACTGTAATTATTATAAATTAGATAAATTACGAAGTGGGAAAATGGAATGGTGCCATTTCTGATGTCCTAATCAATTGAAATCATATCCAACCAATACTACGTTGGAGAACATCATTGTCATTTGGCGCATAATTTGGTGATCATTGAGGTCGTGGCTGATCAAAGAAGGTCGAGGAGTGTGTCACACGGTCACACACAGTCGTCTTTCTTGGTACATTCTTTTTCTTGATGAAATACACGTCTTTACTCCATTGTAATGTTTTGTAATATACCTTGATAGAGGGTGAGGCTAATGCCTCCTGGTTGAACTGCAGTCACTAGGTGTGTATTGGAAAACATCAGGATAGATATACATATTTCAAAATACTGAGGAGTATTAAAATTTTACATTGAAAAAATATCATTCAATATAAGACTAAACGAGTTCAAAATCTAATCATTACTTTAACTAGAATATTCGTTACACAATTTCACTGTCTACTGGAGAAGATAAAAAGATAAAAAAATATAACACTCTTGTGTTTACCGTAAATTTTTACAGCTGTTGATACTGTAGTTATACAAAAGTCTACAAATATACTTGGCATCATTTAATGAATGTATATTTTTTATTTATAAACAAATTTGATTAATACATCAATCTTAACTAAATAAAATTTTCTCAAAAATTGAAAAAAAATATAAGAGACGAGTGGAATTTTAGCACAAGAAAAACATGGAGAATAATGACGAAGTAAATGTTAATGAGATCGACACAAATGATCAGAATGAACCTTCCAGCACATTTGATGAAGAAAATAATGAAGGTTCTGAAGAGCACTATGGCTGTGACCATTACAAAAGAAAATCAAAATTCGTGGTAAAGTTTACTTTATCCGCTAGATTATAAAATTTATTTAATACAGTGTTATTAATATTTATTATTTATTTTTAGACACCTTGTTGTAATAAAGTATATACATGTCGATTTTGTCATGATGAACAAGAAGCTCATACAGTAAACCGAAAAGAAGTTACAGAATTAATTTGCGTACTATGTGATACTCGTCAGCCAGTCCAAGCAACTTGTCAGAATTGCCATTGTCGATTTGGTAAATACACATGTTTAGAGTGTAATTTGTTTGATGATGAAGATAAAAATCAGTATCATTGCGATGGATGTGGTATATGCAGAGTGGGCGGTAGAGACAGATTTTTCCACTGCGCTAAATGTAATATGTGTTTACCTGTACAGCTACAAAATGGGCACAAGGTAAATAAATAAATACCCATGGTTTAACAGTTCGATAATAAGTTAAAACAAAGTAAAATGAACTGTACAATTCTATTTATAGAAAATCTAAATATCGACTATTCTTAGTATCAATCAATTTAGATTTTAGATAAGAACATTATACAATATTCACGGTTCAATATATATTTAAACTTATTTTATCAGATGTTTCAATCAACGATTATTTTTTTTAAATGTCTTGTACAGAAAATTGACATATATTTCATAAAAAATTGATGTTTACGATAAAGCGGACCATATTTTCTTTTATACAGACAATAATCATGAATATTTTCATTATGATAACATCATGAAACCATCCTAATAGTAAATAGTTTATTTGCTACTATTATAAGTTTACCTTGTATTTTTTCAGTGTGTAGAAAATGTGTCACACGCCAATTGTCCTGTCTGCTTAGAAGACATTCACACAAGCCGTATACCCTGTCACATTCCTGACTGTGGGCATTTACTTCATCGTACCTGTTTCGAAGAACTTTTACATTCCGGACACTACGCCTGTCCTACATGTCAAGTTTCTCTCCTTGATATGACGGATCTTTGGAGATTTTTAGACGTTGAAGTATCACTTACTCCGATGCCTCCAGAATACAAAGATTATAAGGCGGAAATTTTATGCAAAGACTGTCATGAGGTAAACATCAGACTGTAAAATCATCATAGTCAAGAACTAATTTTTCCATGAATTTTAATAGGATAAATATATAACAGAGATATTAAATTGTCTAAAATTCTAGCGGATGAATTAATTTAATTGATTTCATTGAATAATTGATTTATTTATAGGAATCAACTGTTAAGTTTCATGTTGTTGGATTAAAATGTCTAAACTGTGGCAGCTATAATACCTGTAGAATAAAAGGCTCTCCATGTCCAGGTAAGAAAAAGTTAAAAATATAAAGAAAAATTAGAAGAATACTGATTTGTTAATTTTTAAATTTCAATTACCGACAGACCCTGACGTTTTGGATGTAGCAGGAAGTAGTAGCGGCTCAGGTGATCAAGAACAACCCGATGAGAATGGATCTCAATAAATTAAAAATTTAAAAAAATCGATTATGTTTTAAAAAATGTGTTTAATGGGAGTAAAGCACCAACTCATGAGTAAACGCTCCTACAAATCATGGAAAATACTTCTGCAATTACAAAGATAATACTAAAAGTGATAAAAGAGTATAATTCTTTATATTTTTAACTTCTCGATTCGTAGGGAAGTTATTGTAATTGGTTTTAAAATTTTAATGTAATTTTGTTTGGAGATATTAGGCGTTTGTTAACAGCATTTTTGAAATGATACGTGTATGATGTGTGTGTGGTGTATGTACGTATGTGAGGCCGCGAAAAAATTTGTCTTTGACGATAACTTGCAAAGAAATTATGAAGTAAGATATTAACTCTGTTTTAATAGCTACCGACACATGTTAGTATCATCCCATTTAATTAACTCCTTAGTGGGAAGTTATAGAAATGAGCCCGATTTTGTGAATCCGAATGTTAACATATCTCCATGTTTCATTTTTTTTTTATTGAAATTAACCGAGTAAATTGTTTATTTAAAAAAAAAAAGCTAAAAAAATGGATAATTTTTTTAAATATCTTAAATATCATTATCATGGTTTCTTGTTGGAAATTTACGTAAGCGGCTATGCAGTTATTTTTTATAAAATTTAGAATGAGTTATTCTTTGTTTCATAGAAACAAAATTTATCAATAGTAATTAAAATGATAAATAATAACTATCGGGAAGTTGCTGATGTGAATCTTCAGGGTCACACTAATTATCAGCTTGTTTTAACCAACTTCACCATTATAAATTTACCTTTGATATGCTTATTTTTGGCAAGATAAATAAATAATTTTATGAGTATGAAAATACAATGACGTTTACCCGTAACGTCCTTTAAATAGTTTAACTTTATGTTTACTCGAAGGTTAATAGTACCATGTTTTTACTACTGATGCTTTGCTAAAATTTAAAATTGACCATTTCTTTTTTAAAAATATAAATCAATTGTGATTGAAATTTTTTCTCGGAATAATACTATCATGATTTTCTATTCACTAAAAATTATCAATGAATGTAAAACAATATAATATTATCACGAGAAATAATTTTATGTAGTTTAGATATTAAATTTTCAAATATCTCTTGAAGTAAGATGATCGCATTTAAAACACAGATAATTAATCCCAAGATAACATCAGAGCAATAATTCAATGTATTAGTTATTGAATATTATTAATTACATTCCGAATTTTTTAATAACTTTCGGCAAATCCAATTTATAAGTAGTTCTTAGGTATATCAATTAACGAATCTTCTGGGTAATCTAAGCTATACCCAGAAAAGTGTGAGCGTGTACTTTAGTAGGCATTTAAAATCGAATTTACATGAGTATATGGTACTGTTTTATCCCCTTGACAAAAAAAATTTGTATATATATATTGTTATTGCTTGCGTTCATAATTATGTTTTACGCTCAATACTCCTAGTCCTGTATAGAAAATTATTTTCCAGGCACTTACAGAATTCATAGACTTTTTTATTGTTATTTCTTTGTGCGATCTTTATTATTGAAATGTAAGATAAATACCAATTACAAAGGCTCTTTGTACGTAACGGCCACAATTAATGTTTTATATTATAATTATAATAATATAATATAATATTCTATCAAACAAACCGGCTATAATTAATTATTTAAATATCTTTAGATGTAGTCTTCCTTTTTTCCAATTAAAAAACTGGCTTTGATAACAATCTGAATCTTAAAAATGCATCAATACTTGACACATTATTTGTAAGTAGCTAGATTGAATGATTTACAATACTGATCGAGGATTCATTAAAAAATACCTCGAATTTTGCTGACTAAAACAAAATATAAATTTTTCCTTGACTTGACTGCACTTGATTGAAATCAAAATTTACAGTCATTCTTTCCCCTTTTACCATTAAAATATAAAAATTTTCCGACTAGTTTCGTTATCGGTTTTCCGCGACCTAAACTCTATGATTTTAATATTAAGTCATGCATTCGCTGATATTATAATATTAAATTCTTTGATGTTCAAAATTTCTTCAAAAATTTAGAGACCGAGGTCGCAAGACCGATAATCCGTATGATCCAAGAAACTTGCGTGCTGCCCGAGTCATCTCTAGTTGATCTTCAGTTCGTCCGCAAGCGACCATGGTCCATTGCGCTTCTAGTTGAAGCTAAAAAATTTATAAATTAGTTAATACTTGAGGTTATTCAATAATTGCATGCATTTCAATTATTTAATGTAAGGTATTTTGACTTACTTTTGCACGTTTCGGCGGCCTGACAAGCAATGGACTGAAACTTGGACTGTCAAAAGCATCAAACGAGATTGCCCTCTTGGCGTTGGGGTTCCGCTGGACAGACAGTGAATCTTGGGGAGTCTGGAAAGGATAGACACACTAGCTACAGCCGGCAAGTTTTAAGAATCATCAAAATGATAGAAATTTACAGAAAATGTAATTCATAGTCCTCAGAATGTGTACTTTCGTTTTTTGTTGTTGATTTTTTATACTTTTTTTGTCCAAAGGAATAGTGTACAGGTATCAATAGAGATAAAGAAATGATTGTTGAAAGGAAGGAAGTAGCAGTAACTTGATTGTTGAGGACATTTGTGATGTGAAGTAAAGTAGCCAGAAGGGAAAAATAGTTTGTGCTTGCTGCGTTGACTAGGCGAGCCTCTGTATTTGGTATAGGTGCAAATTCTTGGAAAATATCTTGCCGAGGCCGCTGCGACTACTGAGCCGTCGCTCAATATCTTTGGGTTACTCGTTCGTTTGCAAGTTTTAAAGAACGCCTTGACGAGGTAGGTCGGGATAAGGCGGCGGTGGGATATACAATCGAGGTACTTTGGTACGCTAGGCCAGGCCTGTTTTTTTTTTACAAAGGAGTTATTCGTTTGGAGTTAGTGCAGACATGCGGCAACCCAACGTAACAAAAAACACTTATAAAGAATTTATAAATATAAAAATAACTTTTAAAAATAATAATAATAATATTACAAAAATATTAATAATAATAATAGTAATAAAACAATGCAACGTTGTTTGAATCATCAAACATGTTATCCATGTTTCATCACTAGTCGTTAAAATCAATACTTTGCACGTGAGTGCGAAAAAACGACAAGTGATAAATTTATATAAATTAAGTACACTATTAATTAGAGTGAAATAAATAAGTTTAGTGTCTTAGACACAATTTAAATATAAACTAAATAATTAACATGGTTGATGAAAAATTTTTTATCAACTTTTAATCAACTCAAAGCTTTATTATTATTATTTTATTTTTAATAAATTAAATTTCACGCGTTTATAAACATAATTAACAGACGAACTAGTTTGCAACTAATAACTTGAGTTAGTTAATTAAATCCTTGGGAAATTTTATCGCATTTTCATTTTTTAAACAAATATATAAATAAGCACAATAAAGAAAAATCTTTGGAAGGAGAGGATGCAGGATTTCCTCGAGAATTCCCTGATTAAATACTTTGTGTGAGTTAGCACAAGTATTTAATAATGTGGTTTAATTTGGAATGATAAGGATTTGTGTTAATTCAACAATAAACATAACATATAAAAGATGAAAGCAAGAAAATTAAAGACAAATAAAGCGAGAAGCAAAATTGTTAAAGAAATGAAAAAGGCCGGCTAGCGTGTCTACAGGCGATTGGAACGAGAATAAAACCAGGATAGGGCAGGTTGATGAGTTTGTGATTGACTTTGATTTTGAGTTTGATGCTCTACCTTTATCGGAGGACTCGGTCCTGTAGCTAAAAAACTGTCCTCTAGTGCCATTGAGGCAGGTGAAAAGAGCACTGATGTATCGAGACTTTTACTCTGTAGAAAAAAAGAAAATGTCAGTATCATCAATATCTGCATTTCAAAACAATGAATCACTCAAGTCTTACCGGTGTCTCGATAATGAAGTTCATTTCAGAATTATCTGTAGGAGTGGGTGTGGTAGCACTGGCCCAAGCCTGACACAGTGCTTTCCGTGCTCGCTTTCCACCTGGCGCACTGTTTTCTTTACCACGTCGTCGACCAGTACCATAACCAGAATCCTGAAGAATGCTACTACTCGCTAAGCTTTCACGATCCGTTTCTTGTCGAATTATTTCTGTTAAAGCATCAAGTCGACTTGGTGTCGCAGGTAATTGGGTTGTTGCACCGCTACGTCGCTCAATTTCAGCCAGAGCGTTTTTAAATGGCGTCGGTGTCCGTGGAGTATTACCGTTACTCTGATTCCGTCGTAGACCTGACGGTTGTGGAGTAGTAAGAGGTCCAGGACTACCTTTAGGGGTACTGGCACGTGGCCAAGAGGCTTCTGGGCTTGCCAGACTATTGAGGAATTGAGAGGGACTGAATGGAAGTTGTTTAATAGGAGTAGAAGGTGCAGTAGATATTTGAGATTGCTGACTAAGTAAATAATCAACAGTTTGATTTCCACTGTCTTCAGCAGTATCATTACGTGATAAACTATACTGCGATGTACGACGACGTCGTAATATTGGTGGCGGACTACTTTTACGATCATCATCGTCTTCAAGGTCTGGCATTGGCATCAATCGAATATCGCCAGAACCGCTTGCCTCACTAGCGAGGTCTAAATTGAAATACTTAGAAAATGGTGATGGTTCACGTTTAATCCTTAATTGAGGCGAATCTAATTGACTCTCATTGGAATGCTCGTTCATTGCCATAATATTTTGATGATAATGACTGGTTTGTTGTACTTGGGAATGATGATGTTGCGGTTGATGATGTTGTGTTTGACACCAAGTTCCAGACCAGTCTATAGTATTTATATCAAGACTTTGAGACGTTATTGTTTGACTATCTTCAGGTTTAACCATATTTTTAAATGATTTATCTTGATAAGTGTCTTCCTGAACTGTGCTGACACGGGATTCCTTCTTTACCGCCGTTGTTGCATCTGTTGCTTTTCTTCTACCACGACCTAGAAAAGTGAAAATTTTTAGTAATAAATCATTGTTCACAAATGTCGTAAATGTGTTTTTACCTCTTGATCCCGTACTTCTGCCTTCTTCCGCCTCGTACTTCCGACGCATTGTACTATTCCAGTGGTTTTTAATAGCATTGTCTGTTCTTCCAGGTAACAATTTTGCAATTTTCGCCCATTGATTGCCAACTCGCCGATGTGCTTCAACAATTATTTTATCTTCAGCATCAGTCCATGCTGTCTTTTTTATTCCTGGATTTAAATGATTGTGCCATCTCTCTCTGCATTGCTTTCCAATTCTTCCTTTCAAATGTCTTGCGATAAGCGTCCACTTTTTCGGCCCGTAACGCTCTACAAGTTCGACGACTTTCTCGTCTTCCTATACAGAATGAAAAAAACATGAATTAATTGATTGAATCAATAAATTATTGTCGCTTGAGACCGGACAATTTCGAGGCCAATTTAAAGTATACATTTCGGTACATAAACTCAAGCGTGAGAAAAACATTGAGATAACGGTGCAATGGCTTCAAGATGAGCGCCAGTGAGAAATGAAATTTCGCAGAATATTCTTTAGTACAGCCCCTTGGAACCTCTTAAAGTCTCTTAAAGTTCCTTAAACTACCTCCAAGTCTCGGCGTAACCGAACAAAGAGAAGAAGAAAAAAGGAAAGTAAAAGAGAAAAGCAACATAAGAGTAAGAAAGCATCTCACGAGGCGGGAGTGGCCCCACGCAAACAAAATCAGCAGGAGAGGAATGAAGAAGAGTAAAGGCAAGATGTACCACAGTGTGGTTTGCCCTTGGCTGTTACTGAGCGCATTTTATTGGCACTGATGTTCATACTGAACGAAGTCATTGCATACCCTAATATATATTGAAATGACAGACAAATCATTTAGTATTAAAAAAGTCATTCGGTGATGGTAATAAATTTCTCGGCGAAAAAATTATACCACAACAATACGTCTTAGAGCATTTGAAAGAGAACAATTCAACCTTTGAAGTTTTTTAAAGCTTGCTCAATATTCATTATGTGGTCAAGTTATTTTTTATATTATTTTCAAGTTTCGAAATATTAAAAAAAAGTTTTAAAAAAATTCAGCACGCATCAACTTCAGTAGAATGATGGTAACTTCGAAGCTGTTATTATTATGGTCCTCAGGTAAAAAGTTGCTTCACATTTTTGGGTGCAAGTGTAAATGTATGTGTCTGTACATTCAACTTAGGGTTTATTCATCATGATACTCAAGTACAACAGGAAATATGTATACATATATGTATGTATATAGAGTCAAAGTTGTAGCATTTACTAACTTTATGAATGACTCTTAAAAATGTTACGTAATCCGAAAAGAGTCTAGAAAACAGTATTGTAGATCATAAATAACAAGTCTGTCCACGTGATTTTGAAGCGAGACTCGTGAACATTTGCCCTAGATCACTGGGTCTATACACAGTCGGAAAATTTCAAACGAAACCGGTTCCATTACTTCTTTCCAACGTCTCATTATTGCCAAAGACCAAGCCAGAAGAGTTCGCTCAGGAATGCGCACACGAAATTCAAGGAGGCTAAACCGGGTAATAGCCCTTTCCGGATGTTCAACTGGCCATTAATGAAAACAAGAAGAAAAAGAATGTTGCTTTCTTACTACATATAACTATGATAATTATTATCTTAGGTTTTCTCACCTCCTTGGTCCATGGGCCTTTTACTAGCTCTGGATTAACAACTTTGGCCCAACGTTGTTGACATTGAACGTCACTTCTGTCAGGAAAATGAGTCGCAATCGCATCCCATTTCAGTCCAGAACCACTTTTTTCCGTACTACTCACTAACTGTTTTAACAGAGAATCCTGAAAAAGGTAAAAGTCAATACAATTAAATGACTTTAGACAATAAAGATTAATGATGAAATATTATACAAATTTGTCCAAGGGTTCCAGCAATTGAATATTTTCTCATAATCTTCAAGTTAAGGAAATCTTTTTTTTTTCAAATCAATGACAGATAAATAAATTCCTTCGCATCGGATAACTGGATTTATAGAGCCTAATTTTATTATTCTTCTTAAGAATAAGTGAAAACGGGGGAAATTTATAGGGCGCAAAAGGTTTTTATATCGAATGGAGCACGTGGGATAAAGAATTGGCAACTTTCCCATGGGAAACAGTATGTTGGGTCTATACCTTGGCCTGCACTCTAGTATTAGACCGCACGTGCGAGAAAGAAAAAAAAACAGGTAAGTACAGGATCATTCCCATCAGTCTTTCCTTGTTACATTGCATTATGGTCACAGAATTGTATAGTTCAACCCAACAGTATTCTAATCCATTCTCTTATTTTCAAGCGAGTTTAAACTGGACAAATATTTTAATATATAAGACTTAATCTATTTCATGATCATAAAAAGATCAAGATGACTGATATATTTTTTCTTTACAATTTTGATTAATAGTTGATTTTGTATCAACTTTTACCTCTTCTTTCGTCCAACGTCCCTTGTTGATATGTTTGCCCTGAGCCGCGCTTGAACCGCTACTCGTTGTGGCTGTTGTGGGATTCGTTGAATGTGAAGTCGTTGAATAAGATGCAACATGGTATTCACTTTCTGATTCATCACCGCTGCTCGAATCATATCCAGACCTCGATCTGGAAAGATAATAAAAAAAAATTAGTGGCTTTGTTGTAGTTTTAAGAACTATCCAAGCTAAAATTTAATCTTTAGATCATCAACGATAGTAAAAAATAACAAGGTGTCAGGAAGGAACTTTCAGAAATTATTTTAAAAACAGTCCTATCATTTACACTTGGATACACATCCTTCCTGTTGGACATTTGGATTTTTTCAGTAATCTGATTACTTCTTTTCCTTTCAACCCACTTTGTCTTTGCGCTTCTTTGCTACCACCCTTCGATTTATTTTCTTTCGCTGGCTTCGTTCCTCAAATCCCCGGATACACCAACCACATCCTGTTCAGGGGTTGTCACAAGTGTATCTTACGTACATATTTTCTTACGTTAAATTAGTTTCCTGTCAACTGACTTTTACACTTTGTAAACTTCCTTCCCGTTTTTCCTTTACTTTCAGACTTCCTAAAAATTAGTTCCATCAGCCAAAAACCGTTTTTACTCAAACCAAGACCTACTTCAATTTATATTCCAGTCTTTTTGGACTGGTAACATAAAAGCATTTTATATGAGGATGTGATGAGTGTGATAACACACGTCCACATAATCTCAGTAAAATATATGTGACTATTCTTTTTCTCTCATTATATTTTATTACACATCTATTATACATATATCTCTTTTTCGTGTGACAAGGGACAGCTTGTGGTTCATATCAACATCAGTTGAATCGCGTTGGTATTAATCCAAATATTTTTTACTATCACCATCTCTTTCTTCGACATCAATAGACGAGACCCACACATTTCATTCAGTCTCAGTAATCGCTTGAGATAGCTGGACACACTGCTTTCAGTTTTATTTCATTCATATATTTTTTCAGAATCACCAATACGTCATATCATGAACAATAAACTTCAGTTCAACGCAGATGGCAGTTAAATTAATGTAAAACAGCTTATTTAGCTATAATCGTTAATTGATTTGATTAAATTTCCGACTGAAGATGATAAATTTGAAATAGAATACTAATTCTTTCTCTATTTCGTTAAATATAATCATGTCAATTCCATTAATCTGCTATTTTTTCTACTTTGTTGCTCCAATCGTGTTGATATCGTATTTTTTATCCGTTCTATTTCTCGTCAACTATCCTCAGTTATCAAAATTGCATCATCGAAAAATAAATCCAATAATATTGATGAGGGTTAAAGCTTAATCAGGTCAAGTTTATGAAGATCACACATTTTTTTTCAACTGATAAATATATTTACTTAAAAAATTTACCAAAGATAGCAAATATAAGTGAGCTCTTCCTTCCTTCTTAACTTCCGTACGGCTTCCTTCTCCTTCGTACGGCCAATTTATAGATATAGATAGCCAACTTTTTCATTCACGACTTTTTATCACCACTTACATCATCAAAACCAACGGATTCCCATGACATTGATAAATTTCAAAAAAGCCGTAATCAGGTCAAGCTTGGGGTGATATTTAATGTCTGCAGATTAATTTATTTATTTAAAAAAAGATATTTAATAAAGGTGCATGGTGATGTTTGGATTAATAATAACAGACCATTTTTCCTAATTTCCGTCTGGTGTGTTTTCCGTCTTTGTTTTCTCTTAATAGATCGAACCATTTGTGTGAGAGCTTATACAACTAGCATGGCATATGCTTTACAGCATGTGGATTTTCAGTGTCGCACAGTCATTGTTATTAGCCTCCCCCAAAAAGTGGCACAGGGGACGACGAGACTGAGTAAGAGAGAAATATCTGGGGTACGTGAAGCAGGGGTTGCAGAATGCAGACACAGCTGTCTGTGCAGGGGGCGAAACGAGTATTATGAACGTTATTCATCGTATAGACTTGAGTAAGAATGCACACCAATCCTTGAATGCTTGAAAAATTTATGTAATATTGATTGACCAAGGATTTAACTTTTATCCTTTTTCTAATCTGAAAATATCCTGTCACATCACTTTTAACTTAGATCATCTTCGAGATTCCCATAACATTGCATAACATTGGATTTCCTTTGATTCAATCTTTTTACATCTGAAACTCATAAATTATTGTCATCAAATGTTCAAATTAAAGTGCTTAGACTTTAAATATTCAAGAGAAATAAATTTTCATTCAAGTGCTAGTGTTACTAAGAATGTCAAAAAAATTGTTACCAACATGTTTTCAAACCCAATTAATTTTCTCCCAAGTGTACATTGCCATTTTATGTGACATTCTACATCTAAATATTCTTTTCTTATTCCATAATATCGGAGTTTAGACGGGTCATTATGTAAAGTTATGTAAAGTTCTCCCACCAAAGAACTATTTTTTTCTTTAAATGCCCAACGGTCGTAGGTATCCTTGAGTCTGCTGGCACGTGGCAATTGAACATAGTTCCAATAAGTCTGGTATCTCCAAGTATTACGCGTAATGAACCGCCAAAGTTGATATTTATATTACATAAATCCGATCAAGAGAATCCATAGCTTCTTGGTATGTGTATATTAATCTTGATTATGTATCAAAAGACTAATTTTTAGGCGCAGCGGTCGGAGACCTTTGCTGATAGATATACATATGTACATCCTATGCCATACACATCCTGACAGGGAGACGCCGTAAGGGCAGGTGCGTGAGACGACAGCTGTGTCTTGTTTTCTTTCTTTTTCTCATTCTCACTTTTTTCTTGCCAGCCCTCTTACTCTCTTCCCACTTTTTTCTTACCCTTATGTGGAAGGTAATAGTCAATCGTGCCGATCGTAAGCTCTGTTTCAAGACTTTCCCTGCAGCAGCTGGTTGTTTACTAGGCTCTATTCTAGTCCAGACGAGGATAAATGATGTTTAGCGCGCGCCAAATGATTCTGAAGTAGAATGACGGTTAAGTCACTCACCCGCATATTCAATATTGCTTGGTTCTATACAATAAGTTCTATTAAAACATAATACATGATCATTATTACTTTTATTTAGAAGTTCAACTAATCAACTCATTAGTTCTCAACTATTGTTTATTTCAATTCATTCCATACTAATTACTGTAATTACCTGTTGCGAATTTAGAAGTCAAAAAGTCATTAAACATTTGATAATAAAGATATCAATCAAAATAATAATAATAGCAATATTGATGATTCCTTTTTTAGACAACACTAATTACGTATACGTATTGATAATTAATCGCATGTAATTTTCGTAACTGTATACTGAAATGAAGTTGAATAAAAAAAACCTGTCCTTCAAAATCGGTCCTTGACCAACTGGATTTAAAATAAACATGTTGCTATGCTATCAACTACTCTGCGAAAAAAACTGATAGTTCAATAAATTTTAATTGATCCTGAAATTTTTAATAATAATATTTCAAGTGTATTTTTTTAATTTATTTCGAGTGTTGTAGCATAAAAACTCCCCCTTTAAAACGAGATTGATTAAAATTTTTTTATAAGTTAGCGTACATTCGCACATATTTATAAGTCGAATTCGTTCAAGCAAAGCAATGCCATATGTCTCCAAGATCTTATCAAGTTAGTTTCTATTTGAAGGCCGTGGGACAAAGTATTTGCAATATATTCGATAGTCAACCTTCACAAAAAAGTCTGGAGTAAAGATTGACCGTCATCTTATTTAATAGTATTGGACCCATTTATCCCTTCCCTTCCCTTCCAAGCTCCAAGTCTACCTGGCCCTTTAAATTCAAGGAATCGTAGGGTCTATACTACGGTCAGCTGAGTTTCCTGTTCCTCCAGATAAACCTTGAAATTTTTCTTAAATAATCATCCTGAGACAGTCTTAAATCTTAATACAGTTTTGACATCGAATGCAAACTAGACGCTTGAGCAAGTCACCGCAAGATCTTTCAAGTTTTGCTTCACTCAGAGGGTAGTCGCTATCTACCCCTCGATATGAGAAAATAAAATATAAGCAACCATCTGCTATGTCCTATATAGCACATAGTGTACGCATATACGTATAATACATACATGCTTCCAACCTCTGGTAGGTAAGTTCCCCTCTATTTGTCAGGACCCCATGTCTTCCACGCATAGAGAAAGAGCTGTGAGAGTCAGTTGTACAATTTTGTTCCCCTTCCGTTTTTTTAACATCTACCTTTAGCGTCTTTACTATCCTTCCTTCCTTCCTTCCTTTCCGCTTCATGCTTTCTTGTCTTTCCTTTCCATCACCATAAGCACTCTTCTTGACAGCTACATAATCCATTTTACATATTTGACGTCACCTCTTTGTCTTGAACATTAATTCCCACAAAAGCCAGTGAATTTCATGCTCGTTCAATCGCACATCAATCATTCTTATTGCTTGATGTGTATCACCCTCTCAAATATGCATTACCATTTTGCATGTGCTGCTCATCATTATATGGTACAATTATCAGTAAGTACTTTTGTCTCTTAATTCCGAGCGCAAAGACACGGAAGGATAGTGTACAAAATTGTACTCGTATCGACATGCTCATGAAGAGAGGGTCAGGGTAGAAGCCCCTATAAGACATCTGGTCACCACCTGCCTTGTTCTTGCTCATACTCTTTCGTTTTCTCTTTCTCCCTTTAACTTGACTAGTATGAAAAAGTTCCAAGCTCACCATAGTATTAAATACTCCACCAATGCCGTCATGATTCTACCACATCACATAGGTTGTATTTTAAATGCAGACACACACTAGAGCATCGACCTATAATAATTTCAGTAAGCTTTCGAGCGAGTGTATGTATATCAAGTAATACTTGGTGCAAGGGCCTTCAAACTCGCTTGATGGCAGTGGTGCCATGGTGAAAGGAAGCCCATAGAGGGTCATGAAAACGAATCAGGGGTGCAAAAGCATCAGTCCTAGGGGTTTCATTTGGCTTCATCGGGTTTCATCATCCCCCTTTACTGCACCTCACCTTAATAAACCTTATGTTACTATCCCCACCCTCTTTCTCGTACTTTGTGTTCGTTCCCATGACAAGTGTGTGCTATTTTACGTGTAAATCTTCCATTTACCCGTGAGAATTTTATATCCTGTCAATATAAATATTCACATCTGCTCATCCTGATGACCGAATGTATCCATGTGTGTCTTTATCATGCTAAAATGGATCATGACGCCTACGAAATATCATCCACTTTCCCATTAATATTCGGAAATCAATATTATGTTTCATATAGATTATTTCAACACCAAACCATAAGAGCAGATGTGCTTGCAGCAAGTTTCTTGTAATTTTTTTGAGCGTAGCGAATGTTATGGGGCGTTTTTCTATACCATTATCATCTGCTACAATTATCATTGATATTGTTAATATAATTTCCAATGATTAGTAAAACATGATTGCTCCAAAATATTCCATAGAAAAAAAATTGATTCAAAATCATCAATTAAAATTCTAGATAATTTTTTTGCATTTCTGAAGTTGAGAGAATATTTAGAAATTAATAATTAATTAATGCTGAGGTAGCATAAATGACACTGAAGACAGAATAAATTAATGGATTCATACGTGAGAAACATTGAAGTATAACTTTCAAATTTAAATGAAATTTCGCAAAGTATATATGTGTATATGTTAATCTTGAATTCAAATAGAGTCCAGTGGTTCTCTGACTTTGTTGAATTCTTTAGACTTTTCACTTGCTGCGTAAAGTTTGTATAACAAAAGAAAAATTTGTGAAAGAATAGCGGATGTTTCTCTGGCATTGACCATCATGAATTCGCTTTTAAATCTTGACAGGTGAGAGAGCGAGAAAAGGAGAGAGAAAAGGGAAAAAAAATTTTGTTGCCAAACCGGATTGACGATGAACTTCCCTAAATCATTTAACAGAAACACTGGAGTACTTTAAGTTTCCCAGTATGAAAAAACTTAAAAGAAAACGTAAATCCCTAAGGATGAATGAAAATTTCTCCGAACAGTATAGAATTGAATCTTTAAATAACGCCTCTTCTGTTTAATAAATAAACCATTGAAAAATAAAAGTATTATTCATCATTCAAATCATTTTTCACATGAAGTATTCGAAAACGGCTTATCTCCAGTTGATATTGATATTAACCAGTAACTTCCGGTTGACTTTATTTTCTGCTGCATTGAGTTTATTTATCTCCCTCTCTTTCTCACTTTCACGCTCTAGTTTTCGTTTTTGCGAATTTATTTGGCTTGAATAAAACATCATGACAAATTATTAATTGATAATACTAAAATAATAAAATAAAGATTATAATAATTAAATCAAGTAATGACATTAAAGATACAGATTATCATAATAGCATAATTTATTATATCATCACTGTAATTCATAGATTTTTTATCATCATTTATAATGTCCGAATTAAATTGACATTGATAAATGATACTAAAATAATCTAAAATTAATTTACTTTTAAGCAGCAAAATATTAAAAACTATTTATCAACTTACGCTTCAGTGGGTGGTGGTGAATAGAATGTTGAATGATAAGCATTGATATCTAAAGACTTGGACGGTACAAGAAGATCTCCCGGTAAGCGTTGCATTGTTTTCCAATTTCCGTATATTTATAAATTTACAAAAGACACTGGTAAAGTTTCCAATTCACAAAATGATGAATTATTTACACGATATCCATGGCATAGATCACATCCAAAATATCTTAATGTTATTGTTAAAGTAAGGAACTGTCAGAGTTGGATGACACATTCTCCTTTCATTTTGCCCTTTCTTTCCTTGTCAGCTGCAATAATTAATTACACTTGTTACTTGTTGAGACAATTATATTCATTATCATTTATTCAAAAAATCATCTTGATAAATGACAGCTGCTTCACATGTATTTATTCCAACATTTACATTAATTGTCTTTCCTTCTGTATTTTATACCACGATTATAACCAATCAACACACAATAATAGCTTTAAAAACAAACCTCATACTTTAATACCTCGTGTCAACAATAAGTTTCCCACCGAAGATACTCTGCTTCTATGAATTAGCACAAGTTCACTTGATTCTCTTCTATTTATCTCTTTAATGTATTATTGATAAACATTAACAATGTCGTAAAGAGTTAACTTGTTTCTATTGATTTTTTGCTATAGAGGTGTCTGAAATGGCTAGAGGAATATGCGTTTGCGTACGATTAGCTTCTCTAGGGATTCTGAACTGCGCAGAGAGAACACTAAAATTCGGGGAAAAAATTTCTTTCTTATAAAAAAAGTACACTATTTTATGAACAAATATTATAATAGTTTTTTTTTTTAAATAATTTTTGATTAAATTTAATTCAAAATTTTTAATAGAATATCAAGCTTGAAGAAAAAGGCGAAAGACGGCAGAAAATAATAAACGTTTAGTGAGTAAACGTGCGCACGCGTTTTAAGGACGCTCGCTCGATTTCGACTGAGAACACATCAAGGAGTAGAGGGCTGAGTATTGGAATAAATGCCGGGCTACGAAATAAGCCGATGTGAGCCGACACATACACACGCGGTCGGGCTGTGTCGCAGCGTGCTAAGAGTCTGATCCCGCGCGGGTGCAAGAGGTGGGGGCTTCGACCAACCGCGATGTCGAGAATCAAGTGAAGAAGAACAGAGAAATCCCCAGGGACCAAGTGAATAAGAATAGGATGGAGAAAGTTGAAAAGAAAGGAAGAGAAAAATAGAAAAAGATGCACATCAAAAGGAACCCCGAAAAGGACCGAGGAAGTCCGAAGTTCTGGAGGGATACTTTGCGTTAGAACGAATATATATGCCGAGGGGAGGCTTGATGTATACCATGTGCTACTCCTCGCCTCCGGCATTGAGATAAGCTAGAACTAAACAGGAAATTATTCCTAAATTTTCATCTGCATTGATAGCTAGAATCAAGCTGACTGAACATAATTATCAAATTAAAGAGACGCCGTAAACAAAAAATAAAGTTAAAAGGACTAGAATGAGAGAGATTAAAGACATCCTCAAGGATGTCTGGGGAGTATCTATTTCTATCACCATCGTTCATTGATAAAACATTCTTGTAACAAAGGAACGTGATTTTATTTTGTTTTTTACAAATGCATTCCATTGTGAATTTGAAAAATATACCTGTTTATTGTTGTAATTACGTGGATAACAAAAGAAGTTATTTATTTATTTATTTTTTTTTTTTCAAGTTTAATCAATGAAGTATTAATTTATGCAAATTTGATCCTTTGATGTCTTTAATTGAGAATGTCTTTCCTTTTAATTATTTCCAGCTAGACTCCAAGGAATTCTGTTTATTAAACGTTGCCATGATATTCATAGTTTGGTCGATTAATTGCTATCATAAAAACGTTACTCCGATATCATCTATGTTTGTGTTTAGCATCCTAGATATATTTCCTTGTTGATTCTTGTACATACATTATACGATGTTGGCTTGGCAACAACATCAAGTTATGCGTCGTCACTGCCAAATCTCTATTTATAATTGTCAGCAATCAGTCTATATTTTTCATTGCACTGCAACTCTATAAATAATTTAGGTCTACATAAAATGCCTATCCCTTTTCGAATCATTTAAATGACTCCAAAAGTTTTTGGTAGGTTCAGGCAATCGTTAATTATAACCAAGGAAACCATTTAAAAGTATCGACTTCTTGGAACGCGAAATCGACAAAAGTCACGCTGCTTGTGTATACGAGACCACGATTAAACGGAAAAGAAGGGTCACCGGCAGAATGAGAAAGACGTAAAAGAGAGACGCATGAAATTCCTGCATGTGATTACTTATAGCGTGGTCTCTGTGTGGCATTAAAGACGTTTATGGATGAGTAAATAATATAACTGATTGAACATAAAAAACAATCTTTCAAATCACATGCTTCTGAATGTATGATTGAGAAAGATAAACATATGCTATTTGTTCTGGATTGTTGTTTCAACCCCTGCCTACCAACTCCAACACCCTCATGATTTCAAACTTTGCTAGCTACAAATTTATCTATGGTTTTTAATCCATAAAACACGTACGTGTATGTAATACCAGCAGATGGCTTTTTATTTGTTATTGACCAGCGTGTACCACCATCAAAAACTCGTGTATATTCCTCATCGTCATTGTATCTCCCATGACACACACATGGTCCAGGATCCTCGTGCGTGTGCGCGCCAACAGCTCGTTTGCTTGTCCTTCCGTCCTCTTCTCGGTTGCTATGCGGGACCACAGTCTGACGTCATCTCATATATCTTTCTACCAGCAATTTGCTTATTGATAAGTACAGAGAAGCGTTAGATTGACATTCCTACAAGCGTGAGTGTGGAGACTGAAGAAAAAAGTAGCCGCTGATGTTCCCATGTGATGTGTTACATAACAATATTCAAACCTTCTCATCTTTATTTTCTGTGTAGAGACGTTATTATTTTTATATTCTTTTTTTAATCTCAGTTCTGTTATGATGGTGCAGTCGTTATGAGAGCTGAAACAAGTCATTAATTATTTAATCAAGCATATCACTTGTGGAGAATGCACTAAGATATTGTTTTAGAAAATAAACGAAATTTGATAGTACAATGATAAAATAATCACTGTTAATATGGATTTAATTTCTATTCTATGGTATACTATATTCGTGAGATTTTAGAGAGGGTTAGTCTTGTTTTTTTCTCCAGGACGAAAGTTGAACCACCTTTGGGTTATTCTATACATTTCTCGCTCGCTTTCGTGTTTTCGGCAGGACACCGGATACTTAGTCAAAAAATAAGCCAAGTTACGAAAAAATTGAAATATTTACACTTTTCTAACTAAAAATTGAAGGTCTTACCTCTTATGAATAATTATTTTTAACTCCTAAGCATTTCTATTGATTCAACATCGTTCTAAAAATTTTTTTCTCCACCTAAAACAAATAATTTCATTCGAGTAATTACTTAAAATGCTGTAACACACCAAATTTATTTACCCAGAAAATAAATCTATTAACCAAAAATTAAAAAATTTACCACACTCACTTTCAAACTAATGTTTTTTCTAGACTTCCTAACGAGTTTTTTCCATCAGATGATTTCACGGAAATCATCAAGAAAAACAAGCTCATAAACTCCGGAAAACTCTTAACACAACATCATGATATTTTCCGCTGCTCTGGATCTCTTAGTCATCATGAAGATTGTTTCTTATACCAAAACATGACTGAAACATTTCAAATTTCAATTCAATATTCAATGAATGTGAATTCCACAGGATGAAGGATGGGTGTAGTAATAGAGAAAAAAAATTATGTACGGATTTTTAGGGGCATAATCAAGCAGCTGCTCACACATGCACGCGTTACCATTGCACAATTTTCCAAGGATCTGTCCTTCTGTGTAAACCACTCCCTCCTCTTTATAGAATAAGTATTTTATAAAGCTATTCGTGATATCACCAGATGGAAACGAAGTGACGATCAGGATGATAGACCTAAACAATAAGATGAAAAAAAGCAAGATAAAGTATACATAAACGAAGAACAAAGTAACACCGGTGTGCATTTGCTCGCGTGCCACGTGTTTTACCACCTGTCTCATCTAAGCATTCGATATTGCAGTCCACAAAAAAAGGAAAATGATTAAGTAGTAAAAAGGGAGAATATTTTAAACTGACAGCCAACATACTGGTGTTATAATACAATTAAATGCTGTCATGATGCAATTAAATTATCTTCTATTATATACTGTTATTTTTCAGCCAGTTATGCTAACAATGATTAAAATATGCTTTAGAAAAAAATTTAATTAAGTCATAAGAATGGTTTAACCATAGCATAACCATCAATTGATGGCCAAACATTGGCAAGAAGCTGAAAACAAACAGATCCAATAGAATTAAATTACAGTAATTTTGAAGAATAGTGAAATTTTTATGAATACTCCAAAAGTCTCTAGAATTGAATTATGTCGTTGTTTCCATAACCAATTATTTACTCGAATTTTTTTATTTTCCATTCATGATTCCTACCAATTGTTGGTATTGTATATTTCATGATCACATAATACATCGATCAATGCATTTTTCATTTACATATTTGTTATAAGAAATAAAATATTCCTATTCGCACCCTGATCACGTTCCCAAGTATAACCTGTAATACACAAGTTTTATTATTATAATTATAATCACATATACAATTGACAGATGTTATGATTATTCGTGCACGCGATGAAATTTAATTGAGCGTACCATAATTAGATCATTTATTACCTCTAATGACTTTAAAGTATCAAGTATGATCGATTAAAAATTTTCTACTTGTTTCATAAATACTTCTTTCAATTATATTTTGTAAACAATTAGAACATAGAATTAAAAGAACCCTTGGCTTCCTTTGATGAATAAAAGAATTTCAATTCATATAATCTTTTCAACATATAAAATATTTCATTAAATTACTTTTTTATTAACAAATTGATGTACATTACAATGTTGTTTATAGTTGACAGTCACTTAGGTCTGTTTATTTGCAAAAATTCAAACCGGAACTTTTCCGTCGATAAGATTGATTTTTTTATATTGACGGTTGGTACAATAATTAAATCTAATCTTTATTTTACCATCGGCAGGAAAGCACTTCAAAGTGACGCCAAATTTGCCGCCGAATCACTGATTGTTTTCGTCAAGCATTGCTACATTCGTCTGCCAATAATTAATGATTAAAAACCCATAAAAATGAGGTTTCGTTGTAAAATGATAAATGCATTTGCTATGCGGGATTTCACAAGTAATTATAAATCATTGTCCATATCATTTTAAACATGTATTTTTCCTCAATGCTTATGTTTGTTTACTAACCTATGTTATGATTCTCTAGATACTGTTACAGCTATATCAAAAATGTCAAAATCCTGTGTATTACAAATTACACCTGATGAATTATATTTTATTGTTCTTGATGACGCGTGTCGATCGCCAGTCGTTTGGGCTGAATTAAATCGTGATCATTTTTTTGAGGAGTACTCGATGGTAGGAGCTAGTGAACAACAGAATAAAATATATTGTGAATTTGATACTCTTATGCTAACAAAGAGCTTGACATCTCTTAAAGCAACGGCCAGGAGTGTTAAAATAAAGCTCACTAATAAACAACAACCTTGTCTGACTCTGGAGATTGAACTACCTTCTCTCACAACTGATTCTTGGCAGTGCGTCCATGATGTACCAATCAAAGTAGTTCAGAGAAAGGATTGGCAAGCTTATCAAGTTCCAGATATACCTAATTTTAATGTAGGTTTTTTTTTTGATCTGTAAGACTATTCAAAAGTAAATTATTTTCTAAACTTCTAGAAACAAAGGAAGAAAAAAACCACTTCTCTGAGTAGAGTTATATTTTACTTTTTCAGTCTCATACTCTTGTTAATAAAAAAAAAACCTTATTTGTTACAGATATCAATAGAATTACCGTCTCTGAAGCACATTCGAAACGTTGTGGAAAAAATGAAAAATATGTCTCCTTACCTTACCATTATAGCAAATAATAATGGACTTCTCATTCTAAGAATAAATACAGATGTAGCAAGCGTTGCAACACATTTCCAAGACCTTAACGTTCCTCGACCAGATGAATCAGGTAAAGATGAAATATCAGTAACTGTCGATATCAGACGTTTTTTTATAATACATACATGGGATTCAGTTCATCCTGATACTGTAACATGCAGCTTACGTAACGAAAGGGTAGTTTATTTACACCTTAATTTAACAGATAGCATAAAATTTCATTACTTTATACCTGCCGTAGCTATATCTTAATAAGGATTAGAGTAAAATAAGAATAAATTATTTTTATTAGAAACATTAATTTTATTATTGAAAACATGACTTAGCGTAATATCTCAGTAAATTACGTTACAAAAAAAAAATAGAAAATTTTTAATTAATTGTAAGCTAAATTGAAACTTCGTTCATTTTCTTGTCTATAATTTTGATGCATTTGATCGATTTGCTGGATTTTTTGTGCGAGAATTGATGTCCTCTGGTCTATCCACTGAAGACTGTTCATGTGTGCATTTAGAATCTTCCCAATCTGTACAATTGGATCACTAGAGTCTTGTGCCCGATTAGCTTCGTTAAGATGTTCAATTATCTCTTTAAGATCTTCAGACATCTGTTTCAATTGCGTATCCAATTTTTCTGCTAGCCTATAAGTATATTCTCGTTCTGGATCTGATACAGAAACAGATGCCAGTTCCTTTTCTAATGGTACCAAACAATCTTGCAATTCTTTCTGCTGACTAACGACATAATCTAGCTCTTGCTCCAGCTGCTCTTGCTCTAACTTAACTTTTTCGACTTGTTGATTGAGAGTAACAATTTTTTCTCCATTAGTAATCAGCAATTTGTCCCATGCATTTATTTGTGCTGCTTGATTCATGAATGCTTTCTCCTGTTCTTCCAATTCCAGGGTCCATTTATTTATAGCCTCTTCCAATTGACAGAAGTTCATTGCACCGGTTTGTCCACTACTTGATGAAGAACTTACTGTGGTTGTTGATCCTAAAGTAGTTTGTGCTGCATTGGTGGTTGGTACTGCCGCCGTAGTAGCAATTGTACTATTAGTTGTCGTAGTAGTCGGAGCTGCGGTCGATTTATTTAAAGAAAACCCTAATGATGTTGAAGTATTACCGAGGCTGAATCCTGTACTTTGCGTTGTAGCTGCTGTTGTTGTTCCAGCAGGAAGTGAAAAGGCACTCAACATCGTTGAAGCTGGTTGATTAGTCGTTGAGCCAAGTGAAAAAGCTGATGTTATAGCGGGAGCGCTAGTTGTTACAGCTAAATTAAATCCTGTTGTAGCACTTGCAGTTGTAGTACTTTGAGTCAATCCTGCTAAAGTCGAAGTAGTAGCTGTCGAAAGTTATTTCTTGAGTTCAAATATCATTTCGATTATTTTTATCATCTGTATGAAATACTTACCACCAAGAGAGAAACCAGTAGCTGGAGTAGACATTACTGCAGTACCAAAAGTTGTTGATGTTGCACTTGTAGTCGTGCCAGTTGTGTTAGGTGTACCAAAACCAATAGATTGAGTGCCTGTTCCAAATGTCAAACCACTAGTTGGTGCGGCTGTTGTACCCGTACTAAGGGTTGTACCTGCTGATGGAGCCGATGTAGGCTGATTAGTTCCCATTCCCGTATTAGAACCAAATGATAGAGTTGATGATGAATTCAAAGGAAAATTAAACATTTGTCCAGGTTTTGCCTGGCTTTGCATAGCTGTCAGAGTTGGTAAGGTTTTCCCAGCATCTCCTGCACCAACATTGCTCAAAGAAAATTTTGGTGTTGATGCTATAAACAAATATTAATTATTCGTCTCATTCATAACCTTACTTTAACGAGAATTAATCAATATAATACATACTTGCTGGAAGAGCAGATGTTGCCGTTGTTGATTCTTGAGGTTTGCCAGGATTATTTGCAAAATTCATTGTGAAAATAAAATTTTTATAACGTGTTTATTCTTAAAATTTCGCAACAAATTTTTAAAAGATTATCACTTTTTACGTAGTTAAAAAAAACGATAGCACTGACACGTGATGAGCGAATTATGAACTAAATTTCTGCAACGCGGGCTTTTTAGTTGCTATATTAGTCGTTAAGTGTCGTTAGTGTTGCAATATTTTGCCAGCTGATCTTTTTGGAGTAGATTTCTATTTTTAAATCATCAAAATACACAACACAAAAGTAAAACCGGAGTCAGTGTGCCGGCAGTTCTTCGTCCTCAAGTATTAATACGCCTTGAATTAAGTACACCATGATAGTTTGCACATAAGAAAGTTCTAGAACAATTTATAGTTTAGAAAAAGACTTTACATACACATTTTTAATACGAAACATTATGGTAAAAATGATTGTTTACACATTACTTTTTACAAGTATCCTTTGTTTTGCACATGCATCAACACTCTTGAAACCCCCTCAAACTGCATTGGTAATAGGATTTGAGAAAGTTTATGATTTATCTTTACTTGCAAATACTCTTTCTGACCAAGGAATTGATGCAACTTTAATTGTGCCATCAATTTATTCCAACGATGTTTATGAAAATCTTATAAATGTTGAGGTTATAAAATTAAACTTTACAATAGAAAAAAATTTAAAAAACGAAGATAAAGCGTTGAAAGCTTGTGAAGTTTTTTTAAGTGATAAGAAAATTCATCAGACAGTAATAGAAATCGCACCTACTTTTACAATATTTCCAGCAGTTAGGTAAGTATTATTGATTATCTGTAATAATTAAGTGAAACTACGTGTTAACTTTATTTCTAAACAATACACTTGGACATATTGATTATTCTAATATCCTTTTATATTTATTCAGACACGATGCTTGCCTCATTCCTTGGACTCTAAACATTGATTCAATACCTGTCATATGGGCAGATGGATATGAAGAAGAGCTCTATGTAATCCACAACTCTAAGATGGCCATTCCAATTTACACTAGTGGTGTTATAGAAAGATTTTGGTCACACTTGAACATGAAAACCGAAATTGCAAATATTGAAGGCAATTACGTATTTCCTGCAATTAAAATAACTCAACGATATTTAAGCCATGCCAGTAGAAATTTATTAGATGAATGGTATTCTGATGTCAAGCTTTTCTTATGGGGAAGTGATCCAGTCGTAAGATTAAATTTTGCACCATTGACTCATCGATTAGTGGAGGTAAATAAATAATTAAAAAAAAATTTAATCAATCATTAATCGGTTTGTTTTTTTTTCTTTTTAGATTGGTTGTCATCATTGTAGAGGTGTTCAACCACTACCACCGGCTCTTCAAAAAGATCTGGTAGAATTTAGGCTTGGTACAATAGTAGTGACATTAGAAGATAATCATTTTGAGCTAATTACAAAGATTGCTGAACGACTCCCTCAAGGTAGACAAGGTCAAGCAGTTGCTTGGAAAACTAGAGCCTCTGCTAAGAAAAAGCCTGAAAATTTATTCCTTCATCAGAATGTTGATCGTCAAGATCTCATAGGTAATTTATTGACTATTCTTTGTTAATTTTTTTGTCAATAATTTGATCAAATCACAACCGAAAAAAAATTATTTTCCTAGGCTATGTTCGTGCAAGAGCTTTCCTAAGTCACTGCAGTGACATTGAACTCTTGGAAGCTGCATTTCATGGTACTCCTATTCTATGTTTCCCGAGAAATACTCAAGAGACGAAAAATGCTTTACGAGCAGTAGAACTAGGATTTAGTGTGCTTTTAAATGATGATTATTCTATCGATAATGTTTATAAAGCCATAGAAGAATTAAGTCAAGTATCAAGTTATCGTGAATTCGCTAAAAAAATATCTTTGGCGTTAAGAGATCGAATCGTTCCAGCATCTGATAAGATAAACTTTTGGTTAAGCTATACTGCTAGAAATAAAGAAACCGCTGTAAATTATTGGCCAGTAGGAAAAGGGATTACGATAAGAACTTTTGATGAAGATGTAAAATTCTTTTATGGTTTATTAATTGGAATAATATTTGGTGCTTTGTTTACAATAACAACTGTACTTACGTGGTATTATCAGAGAAAAGAGAGCAAAATGAATAAGATGAAAGGAAAAAAACATACTCGTTAATTTAAAAATAAAATAAAATTATTTTCAATTCAAATAAATAATATACCAATAAATTGATAAAATACATGGACAATTTTTAAATATATTTATAAATACTTTTAAGAATACAGGTCATACATATACATACAAATATTATAAGCTAAAAATAAGATAGTCTAGAGCTTTGTCGAAAAATTTCTTAAGAAATATAAGATATTCGAAAAGCTATACTATTTATATATTTATATTTCATATATATATATATTTATATATATATATATATATATATAAATACCAATTATTTTCAATACTGTGCTTTGTATATCGTCACTGCCGCGAGTTAATCCCCCATGGCCTATATTGTTTCCTCATCATCTGTCTTAGCATAAGTATTTAATAATTATTATTATTTAATATTATTTTTATAAAGATCTTGATCGTCTATGTAAAAAAAAGTACTAAAAAATCTATAAAATATGGACATGCGGTTTGTCTACTCAATTAGTAAACAAATCCATACTGTTCTCCTGGATAAAACAATACACCCAATAAACAGCATTGGAAATCCAAATAATTCAGTACAATATCCCTCACTTGCTATAAATATATATACAACAATAACCGATTAAATGTAAAAAAAGGATTATATGTACAATCATTGGCAGATTATTATTAATTATTAATTAATTAATTAGTTAATAGCTATTAATCGTTGATATCATAGTAGTATATTATAACTTATCTATTTTTTTCTCTTTATCTTGGACGAAGAGCCTGATACGGCCCATGTTTTTTGGTTGAATTAGGATACTATCTCGACATTATAGATGTAACATATTAAAAAGAGATGATTGACATACATACAAAAAAAAAACAGACAAATGATTGATGTTCAGTTATAAAGCTAGTGAAGTGAAAACTCTCTATTTCTCTGTCACTTTTATAGCTAGATCATCATTTGATATTGGATTAATAATCATTTAAATAGTGGAATGCTTAATTACAAACGTGTTCTTCACGCGTATGTCGACAAAGCTCACACTGCACTCGACAACACCATACAAATCTACATTTACATTTTTCTGTGACATCACGGACTCGAGTTTGATAGCCTCGTCCACAGCAGAGAAGTCGACAGCCGTCAAGGCCAAGAGACGTGCGATTGCATATTCGACCTCGGGTTCCAGGAATCCCCAAGCTACAAAAAGAAATGATGATTAAACATTTTAATTACTCATAGGGTTTTAAATTTTTTATGCTGCACTTACGTGAGATTGCGCTCACAATAATCAGGACTGTCTTCAAGATAGACCAAGTCTGTTTTATTTGGTCTCTTGAGGTCTGGTCTAGCGGGTTTAAGTCTCGCAGGTCGTCTATCACCCCTCTGCACTAGACGAACTAATGCAGCACCTTCATGAAGAGCTGCCAAAGCAGATCCTGCACCTCTGAAAGCAGGAAGTCTTCGCCAGCATACTCGAACGCTACAGGAACCCGACATACCTAAAAAAGGTGACGAAGGTGATGATAATAAAAATGAGGAAATGATAAATTTTATGAGAATAATACGTGGGATTTGACATTGTCTGTATTTAATGAGCATTTTACCGTGACATTTGCAAACACGTTGCATCCTTGAACGTACAGCACGCCTTCCAGCTTCACTGTCGTGTTTCCTCATTAGCTGGCCTGCCAATCCTTTGGGTCCATGTAAATCGCCTTCCTTTATCGGCATCTCGGCGCCATCAGACCACTCCCTTGATAATTTTTCACCGAAATGTATATCCTACAATAAATACAAGTAATTTGTAAGCAAATATCATCAGTGAAGAATGTTGAAGAAAAAGAAAAATGATGGCAAGGTATATCCTTACTAAAATATATGTGTATATAAAAGAAAACAAATCGAAAACGTGAGCTGTTAAGTCGCTTGCAAGTGATCATGGTGGACGCAAACATTGTTATCCTCACCCGGATTCTCAAGTGACGACAGTCTCATACAATGAGAGCTCACGTCAACAAATACTCCGTTAGCGGACAAACATAACCGAAGACAACTAATACGTTAGCACACTTCACCCCAAGAAAATATATACGCCGTTTGAATAAAGAAAAAACTATCATCGTGTGAGTTTGGACATATAAATATGTATACACATTTCTCTGTCGTGGTAACCCGTGGTTGCTCCAGGGGGTTGTTGCAACTTAACAAGCTTAGTCCTCTTAATCCCCTTGTAAGCTCACAATGTCTACAAGGGGTCACCTGCTCACGCGAAATGCATCCATTCACATGACGGCTTTATGTCTTGCAAGAAAAGAACAAATACGCGACAGAGAAGAATACAAATGTTAGAGAAAACAATGAGCATAATTAGCCAATGAAAATGGAAGGTTATAAATGGTTATACCTCACTGCATCCACCCCATTGCCAATGACTGGGATGACGGGCCCTTACTCGCATGTCACAAGAGCAGTCAGTGAGTTCACCTCTGGAACACGCTCTGGTTACGCTATAGGCAACAGCCGCTGCTGAGATTGCGTACACGAACGCTGCCTCACGACTGTCTGCAAGTAGATTAACTCGTTACTATTTCAGTTATATACTGCTGAGACGAGAATTGGCATATAGACAGCAAATATGTTAGTTGGAGATTTTCTTATTGATTTATAAATGAGTTTATAAATAACTTGGGGAATAGTACAATTGAAAAAATGCTAATGCTATTGCAGTGAATGGCTTGTATTACAATATATATTCAAATGATAGCAAATATCTGTTTGATTGCATAGATTGCTGATAATTCTAAATTATATTTCATTTAATACATTGAAAATAGCTTCTAATCATGATTGAAAATATTATTTATGACCTATCAACAATATTTTATAATTGCTAGAAAAATTTATGAAATAAATTAAAACTTTTTAGAATGTTTACTGAGTTGATTGCTTTGTTGAACATAGCTGAAATATTTGATAATTATTCTTGATAAATTAATAGTAATATTTAGTAACTGATAAAAAAGTTTGACAAGCATCATTTTTATGCTAAATGGAAGCTCTTTTTTAGAGTTAGGTGTTATTTAAAGAGATTGATCAAGCTATCAAATTGATAAATCGTAAAAAAAAAACAATATTGTATATTACGTAAAGTCTTTCTGTCAGTGCATTTGAAATAAATCACTTTTACTTGAGTCTATCAGCAACAGAAGCTCTCTTGTACTTACTGACTAGCATCACTCCACCGAATATGTTTTCAGGATTATCCGGGCTGACTGAACAATTCCATCGAGCTGAACGGAACTGGTACTGGCACTCCTCGATGGCTAGCCTAGCCCCAGCACTTATAGCCTGTAAACGACACACACCGGTTATAGACTAATGACGACAGCAGAAAAAAAAAATAGGTATGTCTCTAAGAACAATAATTTTCGTCTTGAATTCCTTTCATCTTCTAAATCAAAGGCACATTTATTATCGTGTGAACCTTTTATTTGCTGAGATATATCTCAATAGTTTTTAGCCTTATTATCTATTATAAAGTTAAAAACATTAACGTTAATGAATATTTATATTCACTACTATAAGTAGTAGCAACGTTCTCTTATACCTCTAAAGCTTCCTTTCGTAGATGCCGCAACCCAAGTCCCACACTCAGGAACACATATATATCGTCTTTGGTTCTTTTTATTTTTATCAAATATGTTAACTCAAGCAGTCGAAAGCCTTCAGGCTCCTCACGAGAAAGCAAGAGAAAAAGAAATAGACAGACAATAAAAATGAGTCTTCTATACTTGCCTGGAGAATTGGAGGCGAGCGTGAACATATTCCCTGCTGTTTGATCGTCAAGTGCGAGCTTTTGCAATTCCTTTCGGCACTCGCTGGTCCGATAACACCCGCTCCAATCTGCGGAGCTCCGTCGGCTCCTGTAGCACTCTCTGAACCACTCAGCCTTGATTCAAGGCCTAAGTACCTGTGACAGATACAACAACAAAAAAACCTCATTAAATGGGTGCACATTTTATCGGGTTTATTAAAGAAAACTAATTAAGGAGAAAATGAAAAAGAAGAAGATAAAATTTTCTAGTATACTGAAGAGTAACTATATATAATTAGAGCAGGCGCATTTTGGGGAGAAGATTACAGGTCGCAGGATCGAGAGGTCGGCTGGTAAGAAGTCGTTGGACCGGAGGCGTAACCACGCGCGCGGTACCTTTACAAAAATCAGTGGAAGGAGTGAGAAATGCTACAGTGGTAGAGATAAAGAAAAAAGAGTAAGAGCAGTTGAATGAAGAAAAAAAATAAAGAAGATAAAAGAGAAAGATTCCAAACTGCAGATATAATATGCAACGAAATTTTTTTCAAGTATTTTTATCGTCTTCTTATAACGAGTCTGGATAGATTTATTGGTCCAGCTGTTGTATGCAAAGTTGTGACCAGCTTATATGAGAATGCTGATGATCCACATTGGAATAAACTATTTGTTTATATTCATAAAAAAAATTTTATATAATTAACAAAAGAATTTCAAAAGACAACTATATTTTTATTTTATTTCTTGAACAGACATTCAAGCAATAAGAGATAGAGAAAGTATAAAACGTCGTTTCAAGCTTTCTCTTTGGTTTTTAATATTTATATGAATAAATTTTTAATATAGTTGTACTTGAATTTAAATCCTAGGCTAATCGGTAAGTAACTCTTGCATTTGAATTAATTGTTGAGTTGGACAAAGCATTATTGACATTCTGGCTTTGGACCCTTGGTCTGGGAGAGACTAAATGCTATATTACAATAAATACTGCCAAGATATCAGAAGGAGTGATTTATCAATAATTGCAGAGCTGGCAAATAATCGATCACAGATCCAAATAAAAAAAAAAAGTAAAAGTAGACATAAATGACAAGCTGTATATGATGGAGAAAGAAATAATGAATATAGCGAGTACCTAAATGGAGCTAGATAAAAAATGAATGAAAGAATGAGCAAGTACACGGCGTAAAAACAAAAAAGACGAGAGGTGAAAGAGAAGAAACGAGGGAGGACTTGCCGTCCCAGGAGTAATAAGGAGTAATATGACAGTGGGTGGAGACAGCTCGACAAAGAGCCAAGTGAAAGAAAAAATCCATATTCAGATTCGATGATGCATTCGAGCGAGAAACCAGGAGAGAGGATTTCTATTCAGTAGAAAAATCTCGGCCGCGGGTTTATATATGTATAAGGCATAAGCCCCCTTCCATTATCATCATTATTGCACATGAATGATGATTATTATTTCAAGAGCATTCCCTTCTGGCCCAGCGAGGTATCCTGTTGCCGTCATAACCACGTCAGTGGTGGGCTTTGTTAATGCGACAGTGATAGGGCCCATTTATGTATTTTACTAACCACCTAACAAATTCCCTAACCCTCATACATAATAGAATAAATTTCCTAGGCCCACAATGCTTCTTGATCATTGGTAAAAAAATCTGCTCAGATATTATTACCTGTTTCCACATCATTTAGGGTAAACTCAGTACACTCATGGACCATCCAAGCTGGTGGAATCACTGATCAACATCTTGAAATTCATTTCACCAAATTTTACTAATTTTTCATGAACACTCTGGACTTGGGATGGAATACAAATCATCTGCTGAGCTTAGTGATGTGTAATTATTGAGTTTGGTCTACAGACAAATCAGAAACTGGTCAGATTTTCTCGATGAACCTTGAAGCAAGCAAGCATCATTATTATTTAGTATAGATATAGGTACTTGGCCCTTTCCATACTCTTGTATACCCTACTTATACATCCCTTGTTGATTTAGCCATTCATGTAAACATCAGAGTTAAGTATCGTTTGCGCGTGAAAACGTTGGGGAATCGCTAGAGCTGGCGTAATATATACTTAGCCGTTATATCCTACTCGTCTTACCCTGTCGATACGAGTGACTCAAGCATTTGCATACATCACCATCAGCTGGATTATTTGCATTTCAAGTACTTGCTGTGATCGTCAAATATGAAATACACCACAATAATACACGTATACAAGGCATCAGAGAACATGTCAAATAAATTAATAAGCCATGATGATGATGGCTGAAGTCAACTGTCTAGTAACATGCCAGTAGATCGATCATCATTATCACCATGTACCATCACTCTACTTTGACGACTCACTGGTCCGGTGCGATTCTGGGAAATAATCCAAAGATCTACTGGGCGGACACGTTGGAGAAACCGGACGCTGAAGAATCCATGAAAAACTTGGGTTCTGAGTTAAGGCCAATTTAAGATAATTACCAATTTTGTGAGTCGCTGTTGCTCTCACTCTCTAGTGATTTTCAATGATTATCGTGAACTAGCCAAAGTGGCATCCTGTAATAGGTCTTAAAGTGAACCGCTACCATACTACATAGTTATAGATCTGGACTCTATTTCTGTCCACTTTATATCTTACCAAGATGCTACGAAATAACGATTCAAATTATTTATGTACTTTCTTTAATATACACTGGAACACCACCTGCACATCGTGGCTTCTGATGAATTCTACAAATTTCAAATTATTACTGGGTATATAGAAAGTACTCAGGTTGACACCCACATTTAGGAAAGAAATAATATTTAATGGAAAAAAAATTGCTTTCCTTTCAAACTCTTTCATAAAATATCTTTTATGAGTCATTTGGCTTTTTTTCAGTTTAGTAAACGGTTAATAAAAATAATTTTTTAAATATTTTATTACTACTCTGATAGTCTATTACCCAACAAAAATATCTATTATTTTTTACCTTTTTCATCAAGTCATTTCTTCTGATGGGTAAACGTTTTTTGTTTTAAACTTCTATATAAACAATAATGTTTCAAATTTAATTCAAACAGTCATAAAAAAATTTATATCATCAGCAAAGCTTTCCTGGCATTTATTAGTAATTATAGAAATAGCAGAGTAGATATAAAAACATAAAAAATCTTTATACCTCGTCGTTTATTTAACTTTTTTTGCAGGCAATTATTTTAAAATAACACTGGGAATAGGCGAAGTAGGACTCTGTTGCTTTAATAGAGAATATATTCTACACAGTTTATTTGATTTTGTTATTGTTATTATTATTATTCCAGTCATTGCATTGGACGTATTTACATTCGTCCACCCTCCGGCGTATTGCAAACGCATATGTCTGTTGCCAATATCGCTTTTTCATGGCTCTGTTTATATAATTAATTTGTTAATTAATTCAGGTTTTCTGGTATAATGAACCCGGGCGCAAGTTAACGGTCCGTACTCCGTGCCTTCAGGGTGGCCCGAGCAGAAATACAAATAGCTAGTGACTCGATCAACCAAAACACTCAATATCTATAATCTTTAACATGACCCATACTATATGGAGTGATCATTTGAAATATTTTACCATTCAGTTAAATAATTGGTGAATATCATTTTTACCATTTAACCGTATGGGAATCATTCCAATTCCACGGTTGAATAAAGTGCAAATGCGACGACTCATGTGCGGCAAAGTCGTTTCTTTTGGAATTTTATTAATAGCACAACTAATGTACAAGCACTCGGTGCGTGGCGTACTGGCAATTAATATACTTATACTTGTGCGATCAAAGTAATTAAGACGCCTGCGTATACAGATGCAATAAATTGCCAGGTTGAATCTAGTAAATGCAATTTATCTATTTTTATCAATTTATAGGGTGGTCTGATCACTGAATGAACATTCAGTTAATCATCATAGTTTTTTTTTTGTATTTTTCAAGTAATCCCATGGAGAAATATTTTAATAGAAAGTAATAAGCAATTATTCAACTTGAAGATAGAGATTAATTTCATTAATTAATGAGGATATTAAAAATATTTGCAATTAACCGAATAGATAAGTATGATAATTTACAATAATCTTTGATCATAATCATGATGATTTTTTAATCAATTTTAGCAAATGAGATTGAATTTTGTATGAATTTATTTAGCTGATAATAATGAAAATATTGAATGAATAAAGTGAATAATCTAAAGTAGCATCCTACATGTTTCTATTTCCGTGAAACGTCTAGTAAACACATATTTTCTAAATCCAATCATCATTCTGGAATATTATATCTCAGTACAGTTCTTGTACATAATAAGGAAAAATACCTTGGATATAAGAACAAGATAAGAAGGAGTCGTTGAATATATATACATAAGCGCAAAATGGGAGAATATTACTCGAGCTCGCAGGTAGACATAGCATGGATTATTGAGTATTTCCAACAAATTCTTGTATAGTCTCTGAAAAAGTCTGATTAGCTTTTTTTTTTATCTTCCCAGTTTCCCGGAGGAAAAGTTTGGTCATGACAAAGGCTAAAGCAGTAGCAGCAGCCACCAGGGTGATTTCATCTCGACGGAAACAGCTCAATTTAGCGGAAAAGATTCTCTACTTGGCTCCTTGGCAATTACTTGGTCGGTCTACGTTCACCCTTGGTCCTAATGTATACATTTAATGTATATAACGTGTATGTAACTCTCAACTCTTGCAGTTATTATGGTCCAACGTGATTTTAGCCATTCCTTTTTTCTCCGAGTGTTTATAGTTTCCGGTGATGGAGGCGCGGAAAGCTGGACGGTGAAGTAGTTGGGCCAAACGCTTGGTCTTTGATCTCGTCCATCATACGTACGACATCCGGTTTCATGCTGAAGGAGAGATGCTTGGCTAAGGAAATTCCGGTGCGGCAAACATCAAAGAGAACACTTTTTAAGAATTGCCATACGACTTATATGCCTCAGATCATGCCAACTTTCACGACGTGCAAACATTTGATACAACTCGCTGAATATGATACGTGCGTACGTAATACTTTGAAAGCCCATCAACCAAGATAACAGTCGTAACGAAAGAACGTCTGACAAATTCATATGAGAAGTATTTAAGCGTGGATAACTTACAAATGACAGCATATGGCCGTGCTGATGGACAAGCCAAAGGTGA